GATGGGCTAAGGAACTGAACAGAGAGTTCTCAAAAGAAGAAATAAAGATGGCTAAGAAGCATCTTAAAAGGTGTTCAACATCACTAATAATTAGGGAAATGCAAATTAAAACCACTTTAATATTTCATCAAGAGAATAAATGATACCAAATGCTGGAGAGGATGTGGGGAAGGGGGAACACTCGTCCACTGCTGGTGGGACTGCAAACTCATTCAACCCATGTGGAAAGCAGTATGGAGAACTCTAAAAAACTACAAATGAACCTACCATTTGACCCAGTTATACCACTCCTTGGCATATATCCAAAGAAATCATCCTATTGCAGAGACACTTGTACATCCATGATTGTTGCTGCTCTTTTCACAATAGCTATGAGATGGAAGCAACCCTAAGTGTCCCTCAATTGACGAGTGGATAATGAAAATGTGGTTCATTTATAGGGTGGAGTTTTACTCAGCAGTAAAGAAAGATGAAATCATGAAATTTGCAGGTAAATGGATGGAACTAGAATCTGTTATACTAAGTGAAGTAACACAGAAAAAAAACGACGTATGTGGAGCCTAGCACCAAATTCTGATAACTGATTATGTATCCAGACATAAGTATAGGAATAAGGATAATGAAAAAGAACAAGGGAGTTAAGGGGAAAGAAAGAATCTAAAAGAGAACAGTAGGAAACAGGTGTTAATAAGGGAGAGATGGATAAAAATGGGGTTATTTTAAGGGTGGGAATGTTTTACAAGGAACCTAAGGGTTAAAGGGAAAGAGGTAGGCTCATAAGAGAAGGGTATTATTAAAAGATAAATGGGAAAAACGGGGGCAACTTAAATGCTGAAACCAGGTGGAAGTGTTAGACAATGCGAGAGATAAATAATGCCTAGTAGGTTTTAAAAAACTATAGGGAACCATGTTAGTCCAACATCCTGCTGACAAATTATACATACAACCAAATCAAAGAATGGGATATTTGTTTAGGTAAGGTTTATCTGAAAGTTTTTGGTCTTTGCTCAAGCTTTATCTACATGGCACATGATAATTAAAAGTAGCAGACTGCTGGAACTAACCTTGAATATTTAACAGCCATACTATGAGGCCTATACTAATTTGGACAGAGGGACATGAAGGACAGTTTTTGCTCCTTTCCCTCCTAGGTCAACTAAGTTCCAGGGGACTATGAGTATCTCTGAAAATGTCCTGTAACTGTGGTGAGTCACCTGTCCTCTTCATCAAGGAGGCCATGGAGACCCCACCAGATTGACCTGAACCAGTGTCCAGTCTAGAAAGAGGAGGGTCAACATAGAGGAAACATTTCCTCCATGCTTCCAAGTGAACGCAGCCATTATCGAGCAGGACCTTTGACTTATCTTCACATAGATGGAACTGGTAAAAGAAAGGAGCCAGGGGCTCCTCCCAAGCCCATGTGACCCCTGAGGAACAGATCCTCAAAGGACCTTAAGAGTAAAAATAAATTGGTTTATCTGGACCAATTGTAGGGCCAAAAGGAAAACACCCAAAAGGAAAGTATAACCAATGATTAATGGTATCAGTATAATTTTTTTAAGAGTCCATATGTATAGCTAAAGTCTACATAACAAGAAACAATGCCAGACAGGAGATACCTTCCTTTGAGTTATTGGCCAGGGTGGCCCAAAAGACTCCCAAACAATAACCAAAAATAAAACTGGGAAAATGAACAGCAGACCCAAATTTTCTCTAAAGGAATGTTGACAACTGACTGTTGCTAGATGAGGAACAGATTATCATCCTAAAACAAGGAACTCTAGATAGGCTGACTAGATTCAGTGGCTGGACAAGCACTAGAGAATGGCTGGGGGTGCCAACAACACCGCGGACAGTAACAAGGATGACAGATTATATGGGTTTCAGTGGGGGGGATACTATGGGAGGGTGCCATTAGGATGTGGGTATATAGATGAATAAGATTGTGTGGGATGTTCTGTATGATATATACAAAAAAATCAACAACTTACTAAAAGACATTTGAGGAGGAAGCATAAAATTTTTACATCATGTTAATTAGTAGAGGTGATAAACATTACCATTAAAATCTACCCGATGACTTTATATACATATTCAGGAACTAAGAATCTGAGTCTAACTGACTGTGACTAGTAATAATCAGATACAGAGAGGTCAAAGATAAGTGCAAATATCTACGTGTCAGTAGCATTAAAAATATAGGAAACAGCATATTTTTAAATAAAATGGAGATTTTCTTTAAAGCGTAAAAACTCGTTCAATTTTGTGTCTTACAGGGTTTATGCTGAGTTCAATATTGTATAACTGTATTAATTCAACTGTGAACATAAAAATTTACAGCCACTTTTGAAAAAGATGTATCCATGCTCTGGAAATTGTTACTATGATAAAGCTGTAATGAAATACTTCTTCTAATCATGTGGCTATTAAATTTAAAAATCACTTTAAAACATAAATAAGTAAATAAATAAAATGTCTACATTTTATGACTTCTCTTTTTCTATGGGTGCCAAAGCAAAGAGCATTCATTATGTTTCTCTGGAAAGAATTAATAAACATTTCATGAATTCTTTCAAAAGACATGAATATTTAATACTATTTAAAACATCTAAGTTTCAAACATGTTAGTATTGTAGACTCATATCGCCAATAATATGGTGTTCCTTCCCTGGCAACTAATTCATTCCCCCAATGCACTAAAGTGATGAAAAACTGACTAATGCACTTTATAAAATACCTTAGTAACCAAAATATGGGACTGAAGAGATTTCTCCGTGATTAAGGACACTGGCTGCTCTTGCTGAGAGCCTGGTGTCCTAGTTTGATTTCTATGGCTGTGATAAAATCACTGACTAAAACCAACTTGGGGAATAAAGGGTTTATTTTATCTTACATCTCCCAGGTTTATCACTGAGAAAAGTCAGGTCAGGAACCTAGAGGCAGAAGTTGAAGCATGGACCATGGAGGAACACTCCTTACTAGCTCGTTTCTCTGGCCTGTGCCCATTCTGCTTTTTTATTCAACCCTGCCATGCCACCTCCAGTGGAGCCCACGTGAGGGGCTCTCCGTGGGTCGAGGCTGAAAAAACTTCAAAGGAAGGATGCTTCCTGGAGAATGGCTGTGTTAAAAAGCATGCTGTGTCCTTGGCTGTTCTGCTTTAGTTCCTGTCTTCACTGCTGTCTTCATTCCTGTTCTTTCCTCATAGAGGAACTGCTTTGTACCTACTCAGGTCATTAGGCCCACCTGAAGAGAGACTAGATATGGATGATTTCCTGGGAACTCAGTTTCCTGATATTAGACTTCCTCCAAATGCTCTTTTCTTATTTCAAACAATAAGTAAAGTAGCTAAGAATAAGCAACCTTGGAAAATTCTAGATAAATTACAGGGATACTGAAAGAAGATTGCTGCCTACAGTTAAGACAGACTTAGGAATTGCCTATGAGTTAGGGAGAGGTAGGCTATGGCATCCTCTTAAGGGAAAGGAGAGCATATTCAGAATCCCAGAGCCCATTGATGAACCACTGCCTCATACAGGAGTTTATGAAAGAAATAATAGATGGGTAAATATTCAAGAATGGAAAGTTTCATGGTATTCACTATAGTTTATGGATAGGTTAGCTAGATCCAGACAACCTTGGTGCCTTTACTACAAGTCAGCAGCAAGTATACTTGAATAATTACAGGCAGTATAAGAAACATGGATAGAAAGAATAGGAAAATAGGGATAAGAGAAACAAGCCTTTGAAGTCATATGGAGTTATTATAACTTCACTGACCTAGTCATTGGCCTCAACCACCAAAACCTCAGAAGTAAAATAAAATTGAGAAATCAAAACCATAAAATTACCAACCATGAAAT